ATTGCTGCATTTTTGTCCTTAGAGTAATTTGATTTGTTGTAATCGATTTGGGGAGGTTTTCATTCTTAATTAACTGCTGTTATGACGCAATGATGCAATCCCTGTTCACAAACTAGAGGCCAGAAATGAAATTCAGAACAGGGTAATAGGAAGGGGATGGAGGAGAGCCTTACCTGCAGGAAAGTGAAGCAGTGAGCTGAGGAGCCAATTAGCCACACTGTTGATTGGTGTGCTTTCATTAGTGCTGTAAGGGGACAAGCTCAATCTTCTCAAGCTTGTGGCCAGCACCCTGCAAAATTTGTAAGGCTTAGTAAAAAGGACACATATCAGTAAGAGCTCCCCAGTGCTGTTTTGGCAGACCCTGCCTTTTGCTGGCAGCTGGGCAAATCTGCCCATCACTTGGTCAAGTAGTGGAAAGCTGAGTGATGGGACTTTACAAACACTCATGCACTGCCACCACTGCAAAATCCTCACTTGCAGACAGAGCCCCCAGCTGCTCACAGACGCACAGGGATGAAGCATCTGCCACCATCAGTCTGCCAGTCAGGCCAGCCCTGATTACCTGGAATTATGCTGTTGTATCTCTGCTCTTTTTTTGTTGTTGTTGGTTTGTTTTCATAAGACTATTAAGACCACTTAAAGTTTCTTAGCTGGAACCCTTTTCCATTGCCAATCTTGATTTTGGGAGTGGACTAAAACCACGCTGTCACAGACATCTTTTATGAAAATCCTTTCCTTAGGACTTTTCCTCCTGAGAAGCTAAGAGGCCTCAGGAACAAAATGTAAACAATGGTTATCTGCTGCTGTGGAATGCAACAGGTGGATCTGTGATTGGTCTCATGTGGTTGTTTCTAATTAATGGCCAATCACAGTCCACTGTCCGGACTGTCTGTCCGAGCCACAAGCCTTTGTTATTATTCCTTCTTTTTCTATTCTTAGCTAGCCTTCTGATGAAATCCTTTCTTCTATTCTTTTAATATAGTTTTAATATAATACATATAATAAAATAATAAATCAAGCCTTCTGAAACATGGAGTCAGATCCTCGTCTCTTCCCTCATCCTCAGACCCCTGTGAACACAGTCACACCATACAAATTCTTCCAGCATACATTAATTGTGAGTGTTATTTCAGAGATGCCTTTTGAAATTATTGTTGTACAAGTCAGAAGGTTCTGTAAGCTCAGACTTGAGATGAAAAGACTTTATTGGCAACACTCTAAAATTCTCCACTGCTTTTACAATGCTGTAGCAGCTGCTACTGTATAGATACAAGGCGTGTTCTGTTAGTCTTTTCCTGGTATTTCTGTTTCAATCAGATAACAGTAAATGCAAAAACACCTATGTATACCACCTGAGGAACTAAACTAGGTATTATTGATCACAAACAGCACCTAGTTCACCTTTCTTTTTTTTTCCCTCCCCATGGAAAAAACCAGTCTCCATGAAAACTAAGTGTTTCAATCAAACCAGAAAAAGGTGTGCATTTGGAAATTATTTTTGCATGTGTTTCGGCACCCTGTGGTTCAAATGCAGTGGGTTGTCATTCTTTACTGCAGAAAAAGCTCTAAGCTAGTTTTTATGAGGCACCATGGTCAGGATGTTCATGATACCACTGACCTCCCTCCCTGCTCCTGCTCAGGAGTCAGGAGTGGCTACACAGATCCAGCCAGGTAATTTCTGTATCTGATCTTTCCTGTTTACCCCAGAAATGCAGTTTCCATAGGGTAAAAGAGTATTTATAAATTAATTTCTTTGTGGATTTAAGCCACAATATTTCTGTTTCCCACTAGAACATTCTAATACACCATTTCCCACAGGGGAGGAAAATAATCTTGCTAAAAAAAAAACCACAATACTTTTATAATCAGTCCTAATAAATAGCTCTGGGCACAGTCTTCCTTTGCCTAGAATGTGTAATATTATGGAAGTTTTTTTCATCTAGTTTCAAGCAGATAAGCTGAGCTAAGATAATGGTAAGTTCTCCAAAAATCACAGCCTCCAGGACATTAGCAATTTTTTGTCTTTTATGGGGCTGTCTAGGTGAGGAGTAGACAGTTATCCCCATCTGAAACATTAATGGATTTACAAGGAAAAAATAATAACATTAACAAACTACTCTAGGCATGTGTTGTAAGGAGCATAAACAATGCTTTCCTCTTGGAAAAATGTATTTCTGATCCTGGGTTTCAAAATGTGGCATATCTGTGAAGGAGGCACAGAACAAATAGAGTGCAGACACTCTTGCCCTGTTTCAGACCTGAAAAGATGCTGTTTAATTAAAAATTAATTAATTAATTTAATTAAAAAGAGGAAACCCTTGCATCTCCAATGAGAAGCTGATCCTCTCTTCTTATTTCCTTTTGCCTCTCCAATTCCTTAATAACAGATGGCCACAGAGGTGTTAATAATATTCCCAGCATGCCCAATGGCAATCCTGAGGAGATCTATATGCTGCTATTTACATTAATTGGCAACATTGCCCCGATGGACAAGCTATTATCTTCCTAAGCTTTAGTTGTCTCTGTCTGAATACTTATCTTTATCCAGCCAGTAAAGTAAAGGTCCCACTCTATTGTTTTCTCCCACAGAGGGTGATTTATTTGATAATGTGGTTTCAAACACAATCTCTTCCTAAATTATCCTATCCATTCCATTATTTCTTTTCTATTATCCTGGAAGTCCAAAAGGCTAGGTAAAAAAATTAAGTGCCAAATTCACTGTAAGTTTAGGAACTCAGACTGACATCTCTAAATCCTTTTGATGAGATTTTGTGATGTCATTCTGTCTTTCCAATTAACTTGGAGTAGTGTACTGGTGATAAAAAGATTTGGCCAGTATTTGTCTTCCAGATATTGAGTAAATACAAGTCTCTCTACTTCATTGACACTTAGTCTTTGTTGCAGAAGCAATGAATATTTTTTTATTTGATAAAGGTCATGCTTACTTTCTTTCCATGCCACAAGAACACATTCTGTATGTGTGGAAAGTGTCATAAGTGAAGAAAAAATAAAATAGTCTGGAAAAGGACTAGTCAAAAATGCTCTTGGGGAAAGCAGTTACATTTATATTATCAGGACAGGCAAGTCTTTTAATGCTGTGATACTGTCATAGCAATTCAAACCTAAGCCACTTTATAAATATTAAATTCCTAAGGAAATGGAAATTCATGGTGTACTAGTTTCAGAACGTTACTTCCACCTGTCACTTAGATCCTGAAGGAACAGTCTCTGAACAGCAAAGGACTTTTCCAATATTAAGATGTAGGTGTCAGGTATTTCCTTGTAGCTATGTATAAGAACTTCATTTTTTTTTTTTTTTTTTTGTTGCTCTGCTTTTCTCCTGAAGGATATGTAAACTGCTTTCCTCTCAGCATCATTCTCTGTTCACAAGAAGTGAACTGTGGCCCTGTTCTGCTGTTGTGTATCTCAATCAACATCTAACACCCAAGAATTAACAGAAATTAATAAAAATAACTCTCCTGGCTATTCAAGGAAGAGCTGATATTTGAAGCCAACACTCTTTGTTGACCAGTGCTCAAGGCCAAAAAACAAACCTGTTTTGCCTGGCTAGCATCATAGCAAACAGGCTGGAGTGTGTGGATCCTGCAACATTGCACCTTTGGCACTGTTCACTAGACTGTGCTCAAGACAAGCCATCACAGAACAGGCAGAAAGGCTGGCAAAATTCATCTTGAGATCTCTGCAAAAATACCTGTGGCATCATCCCAGAAACAGCCGTACAGAAATGTCCTTTTGTTGTCATACGTGTAGAGTTACTCCTGAGGGGACCTCTGACTTGCCTGAGCAGCATGTGAGCACCTGCCTGAAGAACAGCTCTTAAAAGTCTCGTACAACTCATGCCTTTTACTAACACAGTCCCCAGGTGCACTTAGTTTGCCCCTTTCACATATTCACCCTGAAGGACTTAGTCTATTTATCTGTGTAGCGCTGAGTGAAACTCTTTGTTACTGCCTTAAAAGCTGTGAAATAATGCCTTACTACTTCTTGTCTGGGGTGAGAGCCTTTCTCAACTTTCAGACAACATTCTGCAGACAGCCAAGGAGAGATCTGTGTGCTCAACATCTTGTAATAACTTGAAATCTTTGCCTCGAACCCACAGCTTTCTCAAGAGCAGGGTCACTGTACTGAAGCAGAAGAGAGCAAAGCCCCAAGCTATCAAGCAGAGTACAAGCAGATTAGGAAGAAATGAAATTCATCAATACAGTGCCCTCTTGGTCAAAAGTTCACTGAGAGAGAAGGGAGCTGTACAATGCACCCATCTCCTTTTAATTGGCTTGAAGCTGCTTCCTGGCACGCTCAAGCAGATGTGGTGTCAATGGAAGCCATGCTAAGGCAGAAACTTTTAATTATTTTAAAATAGTCCACTTCATCTTTAGGAGCTGTGGTTAGGACTCAACAGAGAGAGAGAAAGAGAAAATTAGAGAAAAAAAAAAAAGAGAACAGGCTAATCTTTTCTGGAATAAATCTCTGAATTCACTTCCAAAACTCTTGTGTCCAGCATTATTAGTGCAAAGGTAAGTTTTTCAGCAGCACAAAGGAAGAAATAAAAATGCTGTGAACATTTTTGAAGCCATGTATATTTGTGGCTGACTCATTGTGTGATTACATGGGATTTATTTATCTCCTTAACTCAAAAAATTGCATCTGTCAAGAGAGAAGAAAGCAGGCAACAGAGCTTATAATAAACCACAAAACAACTGGCTGTGGATTGGATATTTGAACCATTAGTTATAAGGCAGAAGTTAGACTGGAATACTGTCACATACATATGACAACTATCATTTTTGAGCAGACATAATCTCTCCTAGATAACTGATGGACAAACAAACAGCAGCTAAAGCAATTAAACCTGTTGCTCACCATGAGTAGGTCTGCAGTCGATAACATGGGTTAAAATTATTTTCATTACCTTCAACCTCCCAAAGTATTGTGTGGGGAAGCAGAGAGGGATGTGCACTTTTGCTGAAGTACAGTTGCTGTTCTCTGAGCCTCTTCTTCCCTCTGAAAAGGGCTGTGCTAAGAAAATGGTAAGTTTTCCAAATATCAGAGGAATGATTCTGAGGGGCTGCTACCACAGGGCAAAGATGTATTGGCACTCTGAGTCCTGGGTGGCAGGGAGAGTCCAGAAGACACTTAAGTAACTGAAAGAAAAAAGAAAATGTTTGAAGACACAGAAAAGAACTTTGCAGTTCTTTTTGCAACCAAGAGGCAACTAAAAAGCTGCTGGCCAGAAAGAAAACCCTCTGCAACAACACTCTATACAGGGCAGAAATGCTTTTATAAACTTTGTTGATTGAATTTTCTCCTACATCTAACAAAGCCTAAAAGCTGAAAATAAAAGTCCCAGGTTGTGCCTGGGATCTGTTCCTTTAAACCTACAGTTCTGGAAGGTTCTTCTCATCTTAGAGATGAGACCCTTGTGGAGTGGATCACAAGCCCATGATATGTTCAAATGGCAAGTTTTAAACTTTGCTGGAGATACCCCATGTAATGATAAACATCATGTAGTTCTTAGCATGGACTATAATTTGTGACTAATGAGGAGTTAGTTAATAAGTGTTAAAAGGCAAAACCAACTTTCACTCCACTATGCTGTTAAAAGTTCTTTCACATGCTGATTTGTCATTACTCTCAAATATTTTATTGACCCAACCTTCTCGGCATGGTGAAATTAAGTCACAACTGTTACCCTCTGGCAGAATGCAGCTCCATGCCCTCCTACATTGTTCTGGTACCTATAAGAAATAGAACGCAAAAAAAAAAAAAAGAGATTACTGTTGGCATAACTTACCTCCTCCTGGTGATAGAGGGCTTTATATTCTTGAGTTCAAAAAGAGATTGAGACTAGCCCAGTGAACTTTGACAGATCCCAAGCTGCCTTTGTTTTCAGTCTTATGAAGCAAGAGTGAGATCAGAGGAAATACTTATTGCTAATCAAATATTGATGTATTACAATAAAAAAAATCTGGCCAATTATGAAAAACAGCCTGCTTGTTGTGTTTTTGCAGGGCTCCTCTTGGTACCTGTGCCCACTGGGATTTAGTTTAGCACATCAAAGTGTCTGTCAGGATCAGCATTTCTTCAAAGTGCTAACAGGATCAGTTGAACACTAATTCCCATTCGGTGCACATGTGTGGAGCATGCTAGAAAAACATTTCTCATTAAAAAAAAAAAAAAGAAAAATTTGTGCTGGAAGGGGAAATAAGACAGAAAAAGTAGGAAAAATCCTGATGGCTAGAACTTAACCAACCTGACAGAATTAATGACCACTTGTTACAAAGTCTCCATAGATTCTCTCACATGACAAATACCTTCTTTTTAAAGCTCAAAAGTTACCTGTAACTTTTGGCAGCATGATGTAGCCCTGTACCATCTCAGACAAGTGTCATATCTGCAAATGTCCCCAGAACAGACACCTTCAGGCAAGCCCTTCTGCACTCTGCAGACCATCTTGTCCATCCAGATGGAGGAGAAGGTCCTCTCCTCCTCATGGGCTCTCCATCCTGACACCACATTGAGTAGCCAACTGTGCTGAGGCACCCAGATGGGTCTTGGATGGTGTCTAGGTCATCATCCAGTGATGCCTGAGCCCAGACTAGTAGCCCACACGTCTGTTCTAAGCACAAACCTCCTTGCAAAGACAGCCCTGGTGGCATGGGGGAGACTGGGCTAAGAGCAGCCCTGATGTGTCAAGTGCAGGACATCCTAAAGCATTCAGAATTAGGGCACTGCTTCCCACTAAAAAGCTCATAACCACCCTGAAAGCTGAACTGCTCAAGGCTATAAATAACTGGTTTCCCTTTTCCCCTGTGACTGTTACTGCATTTTTTCAAGCTTCTCCGTTTAAAGTAAGCACAGACAAAAACAATGCACTCAAAGGTGCCAAACTGTACATAAGGGAAAGGCATGTGCAAGAGTGCAAGCTATTCCTGCAAGTCTGACAGACTCACACAATGTTTCCCTCAGTTCAATAATAAATAATCATAACACTCAAGGCACACGTATTACATTAACAAGCGCTGGATGACATAAAAAAAAGATGCCCTTTTTTTTTTTGGTTGCTGAGACTTAGTTACACAAACTACTTGCCAGAACTGACAGCTAGAAAGGATACAGAATGCATCTTCCTGGATCTTGGGGGCCTTTCATCTAATTTCCAACTACTGCAGATGCCTCTCGTTTCGCTGCTCTCTTCTTTTGACCCATTTAAGTTGATATGGCTTCTGGAGTTATGGGATAAGGATCAGTAGGGTAGATGGAGAGATTGCAGCTGAGTGAGGACCTTCTAACCCAGAAGAAAATCCAATAACTTGACCAAGGTGCAGCTAAGGCCAGAAGTCTGAGCAATAAGGATGGCCTGAGGGTGTCCAGTGGTCAGGAATGGTCAGGGATCTTCAAAATCATCAAGCAAGGAGCAAGGCAAAGAAACACTCTTGTTAAAGGGAAACCACAGAGAACAAAATATAACTGAGTCCAAAATAACACAGATAAACCAGGTGTGAGGAAGAACAAGCCGTCAGCAGCAGAAAGCAAGAATAAAGACAAATAAAGACAAGAATAAAGACTAATCTACAGAAAGGCAGCTACAACCAAGTAGTGGATTGAGAAGCCCAGAGAAATTGCTCTTGCCAGGGGAAGTTTTGTCAGACTTTTAAATGACAAGAGAGGCAACATTTTAGGCTCCCAGGTTCATTGTTCTCTCGGGTTGTGGAGCATTGTAGATCAGGACATAAGCAGATGGCTCCTGGCCCCTTTGGGCAGAACATCTGTTATCCATGACAGCAAAAGTATTGACCCGTCTGTGACAAGGCTGTGTCACTGGGTGAATTTCAATTTACTTTGAATATTCACTGAAGGCAAACACATCATAATGTACTCTTGCTCTTGTCCCACATCTTCTCACATTCTTTATGGTCTCAGAGATCCTGGCAGCATCCAGTAGTTGCTGCTCCCAATTCACCTTCCTTTCCTTTTCCTTCTGGCTTTTCTTCCAGCTCTGGAAATCAGTGCAGCCATTTTCTTTTGCTCCACACATATGGCTTTGCATTTTAGACAGAAAACCATGCTGGCATTAATGTTGAGTTTTATTCAGCTGTTTTCCACTCCCATATGTACAAAAAGCTGCTTTTAATTCTCACCTCTCATTCTAATGTTTATATATGCCTCTGCTTTTCTGACTTATACTTGCTTTATGACCTTCTGCTCAGCCAGAAAGTTGGCAGGTATATGCTGCATTCCTATAAGGAATATTTCTCTTATCTTCAGCAAAACTGCCCTGGAGATTTTTATCTGGACTGCAGGAGATTTTTATCTGGATTATGCCTATGAACATGCTGTCCCTGTGAAAGAAATGGGAGAAATTTCACTAGTGCTGGACCACTTTCTGGGCCTGGATTTCTCAGTCAGTTTCAGAAGCTAATGAATAATGAAGACTTGCCTCATACAACAGAGGCCAACAGGTGAGGAGGAGAAGAAATCAGAGAGGGAGCGAGGGAAGCAGGAATAGTTTTGCCTTCAGAAATGAATGCTGAGAGTAATATCGTACTCTGACACTTTACTGGCCACAGCTGGAAAACATTCTGCTGCTTTTTAAATATGAAAGTCATTGTATAGTTATATTTCATAATCATGCACACCTTACATTTTTAACATTGCCGGGAAGACTGTTTAAATGTCTCAGCACAGAGGGAGTGTTTGCCATATTACTGTCTCCTGAAGAGACATAGCCCACAAAGCTCAGGATGGTCTTTGCTGCCAACTGTCCTTTTAGCAAATGAATTCCCATCTGTGTGGGGTGAGGGCTGTGCTGAAGAATTTCACAGAAGGATCAGTAGATAATTCTCCACCAGAATTACAGTTAAATAAAATTTGGTGTAACTCAGTCTGTCCAGCTTAGACACCAGCTCCTCAGTTTTGCTAACTAGTTTGCCATAGTTATCATAGTTACACACACGCACAGTGCTTTGTATAATTTTCTTTAACTTTTTAAATTACTGAGAACAAAAATAGTACATTAAAGTTCAGATTTTGCACACAGAGCTGCTAACAGTAAGGCTTCCCTACTGATTTCATGCCATTTATGCTCAGCTGTCCCTTCCATGCTTTTATACAAGAAAGCATGAGCACTATTGTACACTAAATTTAGATAATGCTTTGAATATAAACCTGACCAGACAGGAAGCTTGTAGACATTTCATGGTAGGTCTGAAGGTCTTGAGCCATAGTGTGGAGCATGACCATACTGCCCACCAGGTAACTTTTGTAAAAATGGAATCCCATCGTTGTGGGTTCCCTCACCTTCACACTAAACAAAATTTAAGCTCTCCCTGCATGCAGCCTTATAGCTACAGCATTCATCTAAGTCTTCTCTCTATTCTTTAGTCTGAATCAGGGCAATTTTTCTCTTTGGATGACTGCAGCTCAGAGGGTAAGGGTATGAACCTGCTTCTTTTTTTTTCATCCATGGTGTGCTGAACCCCATGAGTTTAAGAAAACAAATATGTGGAAACATCACTAAAAGCAATACATAGCTCAAAAAAGTTATGATGTGGCATACATCATATTCTCACAGCAACTAACTCAATCAGAAATGTTCCTACTGATCCCCATATAGTTTGGCTGAGGGCACCTCCTGTAAGCATCAAAGGTGGCTATTGAATTGCAGACCACGAAACAATTTCTTTGGTACAGCACAGGTGCCACTGCAGTAAATCAGGATATCTCCATGCAATTTTACCAGTTGTGTACCTAACCCAAGGTGTCCCTCTATTTCTGTCACTTATTTAGCCAGAAGGTGAAACACAGATATTTTGAGGGTGGAGTGTATATTATATTAAGTATGAGTAGCCCACATCCCTTGGGTATTCAGCCAGTGGCAGATTTGTAATTTCCATTTGGAGCTGACCCAACTCAGAAATTTGCCTGGCCATGACTCTCAGCTGGGTTCCCCATTTCAGTCAAAAGCAGCTACACTCTAAAAGCCATCCAGATTTGTTGGGAAAAAGACTTCACGTTCTGCCTTAAAATAAGTTACACAAATGGAAAAATACAGCCCAGGTCTTTCATCATTTGTTCACGTTGTACAGACAGGAGTCCTTAGCATGCTGGAGCAGAACTTGGAGTACCACGGTTGTACAAAGTCAGAGTAAATTAGAAATAAAATGGATAAAATCCCCTCATAGTTCACTGTTAAAGAATAACCATACAGCATCTGCCTTCATGTCTATAGCTGCATTACAATGAAGGACACAATCAGTCTCTCAAACATACATTGCTAGCTTAGCTTATCATCTCCTACCTCTCAAACTGATCCTTCTGCCTCTATTAAGTAGTTTTCCATTGACATTTTCTGTTCTTTTTCAATACACCAGGAGCTTTTGATGACATTGGCTGTTACAGGACTTTCAAAACTCCATCTTTTTTCATATGAGGAAAATCTGACTTTCTGCTATCTTTTCTTCTGCATTTATCCTTGCATGGTGCAGGCTTTTTGAAAGGACTGGATTTCTGTTAATGGATTTCTCTGGAGTTCCAGTCTGCTTCTGTAAAGCCCAGAAAGTATAGGTTGAGAGGAAGAGGAAGGTATTGCTGAATATGAGCCTTTTTTTGAAATTTACCTTCCCTTAGGGTGGGGAAGTGAGATGAGCTGATATTGCTGAAATATTTCTAAAACCTCAGGGATACAAAACTTTGCATTTAATGACAGGTTTTAATGGGACCTTCTACCTGTGAAGTACCTGTAACCTCTCCTTCTAATTTAACCTTCATTTTACCTCATGTATTTATTTATTCATTTTATGTAGCTGGTTTCTCTTTAACATCACCTTTTAACACATTCTGAGGAAGGTTGTTAACCTGTTATAGATCAGTTGAGTCATTATGCCCATCCTCACCTGCTCTTAATAATATTGCAATTCTGAAATTGGTAGTAAGTCACTCTAGACTTCTCTTCCCAGGTATTCTCTTCTGCCATGATGCTGTTACAAAACTGCCTGGCTGCTTTCAAAAAGTCAATATTTACATGTTGGATTACAAAAAACAGAAGGCAGAGTTTCCTTAAGAAGCCACCCCATTCCTTTTTAGGCTTACAATGGCACTAAAAGGAAAGTACACAGGAATTTTCCAAGGCTGTAGTTCTTCCCCTCACGTACAGTGCTTACAAGAACAGAGGCCCTTACTCTTGTTGAGCTCAGGTGTTGTTAGCAGTGAGGGCCAGCTGGCACTCAGGAAGGACAAGCGTGGCCTGCAGCTTGCATGCTGTGCTTCTCTGAAGGGCTGGGGCACTAAAACCCCCAGCTCATGGCATTTGCTGCAATCTGAAATGCAATACCTCACATGCTGCTTTAAGGTCACAATCAGCAGACAGCAAGAATCACAACTCCTTTAGTGATGATTCCCTCTCTGTGCTCTAGGTAGTTTGGTAATAAGCCTCTCTTCTGGATTGTGACATGTATCAGGGAGGTTGGACCTGATGACCTCCAGCGGCCCCTTCCAACCTTAAATCACAGCATCTCAGAATCAGTAAAGTGCTGATAAGTAGGAATCAAAACACTGACTCAGAAATGTGAGATGACCAGTAAAGACATGCCTAAATACAGGTATATATTTAAATACCCTCTAGAAGCTGAGCCCAAATATTTGCAGTTAGAATCTGAGCTGATTAGTACCCATAACCATGTTAGATTTTTACTGAGCCCATAGTAAGCTCCTCCTTAATGCTGTGGCAAGGGACTAGCATACATTCACTTCTTATTCAAACACTTTGGAAATTATTTTGATTCCAGAACTAATTAACTGGACTATATCTTAATCATTCCTACTAGTATCATACAGACATAAGCAAACTACCATATGATTCCCTACCAGCCTGATATATTTTCAATTTCAATGTAACTAAATAATTGCAGTACCAATTAGTTCAAATGTAAGTAGGAAAAAACATTGGATGGAGACATCTTAATTTAAATATAATCCATTAAGTAAAAACTGCTATTCTAATTAGTGATAATGTAGCACAATTAGGAAATAAAATTTGATTGGTACATTGGAATTTAAACTTAATTAGTAACTGCTATCCTAATTAGTAAATGCAATACGGTTCGAGCAGCGTTTTGTTGGGGGAGAAGTGCATGTACAGTAGAGACGATGGTGAGGAAAGAGGCACTGGGAGAGCTGAGGTGGGGACTGTGGAGCTCAGAAGTTCAGCCAGTGTCAAGCCCAAAGTCCTGCTTCTGAACCCGCACTGACCTCAGAGCAGAGGAGTTTGATCCCGCTCAAAAAGTTGATGTGAGGGATGGTTTGCTGTCACCTTTGGGCAGTCTCTCCCTGCAGTTAATTACTTCCACTGCCCAGATGGAGTGTCTCACTTTGACATCTACAGTTTTCTGTGGCCAGATCTGGACTGGAAAATTTTGATAAACTAGGGAAAGTAGATGTGGACGTCAATTAAATTGAAGAGCTCAGCATTTTGCATTAGGAAAATGCAGATTTGTCCCAGACATAAAGGCACTGCCATACCATGGGTCTGCACTCTTATAACAGGGAGCATACTGGAGGAAGGAGTTGAGACCTAGCAGGATCTACAGTCTTCTTATAAAAATATTGTAACATTTCTTTCAGTGGGAGAGGGGAGGTGAAAAAAATTTTGGCTGTTGTTTTCATTGAACTCACTATAATTTCAACCTCTTTTTCCTGGAAAACATTTCACCTAAGCCCCTTATTATGTACACATACTTAGCACCATTCTCCATTGTATTACATTGCATTTATTGACACTGGATTCTGTCTGCTGTTTTATCAGCCAGTCACTTAATGGCTTCAACATTTCAATGGCAAGTTTAGATTTGTGTTTCTGGATTAGCATGAAAATACCAGGAAATTTTATTGTTTCCTAATCACTCCTTTTGCAATCACCTATGACTACGCAGAACATGCCAGGTTCATGGTTTAGGAGCATTGTATAGACTGCCATTACCTCTTCACTTTGTTATTTATCTTTTAAGAGAAAAAAAATGTATTTGGAATAAATGAATTGCAAACAATTAATAGATAGGAACAAGATAAACAAATTAACTAACCTTTTTTCTCAACCCCTGATATCTTTAAAAGACTGGCCAGAGAATCTCTGTCAAAAGATTATAAAGAAATCTGGTACTTTGTATTGATATTAATATATACATAGAAGACAGCTTCAATAGATTTGTATAGTAATGATTTCTTTTTATAATAAGAACTGCATAGTTGTTTTTTTTTCCTAACTGGATTAATTTATCCAAATGCCTACTCATTCCATTCCTAATTACAGTTTACACCAGATGCTCCAAGACTTTTACTTCAAAAA